CTGCAACAAGGAATGCTCCGTACAATTATTCTTCAAAACTGGAAGTCTGTGATTAATAAAATAAACGTAGGCTTTCACTGAGCACCAATCCCTTCTGACGTGCATCAGACATGCATCCAAGCTCCTTGTCAAGCACAGCATCATGTTTTTAACACAACCCTATTCCCCAGGACACAATGGAAGGTGAGAGTCTCAGTCAGAAAAATCATAGCACATAAAACACTTTCAGTTTTAGCATCAAAGATGTGTTTACTGCAAGCACAGAAAACGTAAGGGAAATGAAGTGGGGAGCATGGCTGCAGCAGAGTTCTAAGGGTGTATTTTTAGCACTTGTGCACCGGAGCCCTACGACCCATGCCGCCTGGTTTGCTGCACTGCACACAGCGGTGCTCCATCTCCCCTGCCAGCGGGATGCTTCTGCACGGTCCCAGTCCCCAGAAAGTTTTATAGGGGCAAAGCGAACTTTCCTGCTCCCCCTGTGCGGGTCCCATCCTGCCCCGTGCTGTGCTCCCGCTGCTGCTGGGCAGGATGGGCCCCTAATCACTCCCAGCTCCCCTGGAACCTTAGCAGAGATAAAAAGTACAAAGACGCTGCTGGTTCCAGTCTTCTTATTGAATTTTCATTGCTCCTTTTATTGTAACTATGAATTCAGTCCATAATGTCACGTGCTCTTTGTTCTCCAGCATGACATACATTTTAATACGCCGCGCAATATCTTTGCGCAGATGAAGTGTGTTCATGTGCAGCGGAGTTAACACTTTGCTACAGACATGGTTACAGTTAGAGATTAAAAGCAATGCTTTCCATGGTTCTGGGCTCAGTATTTCCCAGCCCCCCTTTCCTCCTGAAAGTCCTCCTCCCTTGCAAAAAATCTCTGCAAAGAACTGCTGAGCGCACAGATTGTGTCACTGACATCTGGAAAGAGACACGACTACCTGAGTCAAAAATAACCCCGGCGGAGGTCAGGGCTGCACCAGGCTGTCGCTCTGTATTTAAGCTGATTGATTCACACAAAGACAAAATTATGGAGAGCATTGGAATCAGCAGCCCGGGACTGCAGGCACGGTTGTGTTTACAGGAAATGTATTTCAAAGGTTATGTCTGGTATAAACTAATTGATGCACTGGACGTTATGATACACAACAGTCTAAACTTAAATAGTGAATAACGCCTGCCCACTTCCCTACCTAGATAATAACAACTTTCTCTCAACTATACACGATCGTGTATCATTTTTCAGGATATTCTTTGCATAAAATCTATTGGTTATGCAAATAAAAGGCTTTGGAGAATAATGTACAGTAACTAATTTGTATAATCAGTTTCCCTCAATTCAGCGTGATAATGATATGTAAAGCACATCACTACAGACTGTCTGTGAAATGAATTCTGTCTTAATATGCTAGTCAACTAGCCACTCGACCTTTGCACAGGCTCACTGTAAGAAGAGCAGAAAAACCCACACACATTCTTTCAATTTCTAAAGGGAAATTCGACTCTAGCCGTAGAACAAAGGAAGAAGAAATAGAAGTAAAAGAAAATCAAAGAAAAAGTGATTTGGATTCAAGGGGATCAGATGTTTCATTTATTGCAGGTTGGAGACCTTCAATCAGTCAAATGAAAGACACATTTGTATTAAAATACCTACAAGGCAGAGAGAAAGCCTTGATCAGGTGTATTAGATTTAAGTTACAGCTCTCTTGCTGAGAGATGTGAACCTACCTTCCAACCTATCTGTTCTCAATATTGAAGGTTTTCTGTGTTACAAACACAAGATGAAAGGCACCTCGCTTGCCTTCCCACGTATCTGCAGGACGTGAATCGCGCGCCTGAAGCACGTGGGAGGGGAGCAGTGCGCTCGGGCTGTTCCCAACAGCGGGCGCTGGGATGTGACATGGATCAGTTAGGTCTGGAGCACACTTTCTGCTGAGCTACAGAGGCACAGGCACTGCAGGTAACATCTCTCAATTTGGGGAGCCCGAGGCTCGGCTATGCCTTAGCCCCAGCAAGGAGCCCCAGCTGCAGGGCCCACTGTCACTGCAGCACTGCCCCTGCAGGCAGGGCACCACCACCCCTGTCTCTCGGCAAAAAAAGAAGTGGAATTCACCACATCTCCATGCAGAACAACCAAACCCAAGACAGTTGCTCGTTTGCTGAAATGGAGCTCCCCTACTAGCCAGGGCTATGGAGAAGCTAAAAGACAGACTGTAAGTGCAAGAAGAGACAACCTAGAAGAGGGTGAGGTCGCACTTCCATGTGAATTCCCCAGTAAAGCTTGGAGGTTTTGCCTGCTCTGTTTGCTAGCGAGCATCTCTGTATGCCACTTCAGCATGCCCTGTAGCTCTGACAGGGCTCCTCTAGCCTTATCTGAATTTAAGGGGCTCAAGCACTCCCCACACTGGAAGAACTGTCCCTCAGCCTGTGCTCACCCAGCCCCACGCCCCAAAACTCAGCCATGGCCAGCACAGCCTCGCATGGGATCTCCAGCCTCACTCACTGCTCACCCCAACCCAAAGGCAAACCCTCTCTGCCACCATCCAGAGTGTTTCAGGAACATAATAGTGAGCTGTGGAGGCTGGGCCCTTAGCAAGAGGAATGGCATCGATACCACCACCACCTCCCATGTCCCCATGTTTCAAGGCTGGGCAGCCCAGGGTGTGCTGCTCCTCGAGCTTCATTGCCACGTACGGTGCTGTGCCCTGAGAGAGCCCTGCACACACAGCACTGCTTAAACAGCAGCTCCTGGCTGCCCTTCGAAACGAACCTCAATAACACTGAGCTCTGCTTTCCTGTTCACGTGGCTGAAAACACTGCACAGTGGTATGAGAATTTTAAAGCCTTTCTGCTTTTTAAATAAAAGCTGTCATTCTAAAGTTTAGCTGCTCTTTTCATTTATACATCCATAAATTCTCTGGCACTACAGGACAAAAAAAGTTATTCTTCTTTTGTTTTCTTACTTTTAATATCTTGTTTTGGAATAAAAATAGCATTTGAATAATGCAGCTTATGAGTGCCATGTAGTCCCTATTCTGCAGCTGGTCAAAGAGGAGCAGGCATTAACAGACAGAGGGCTGGAATAAAGTTCATTTTCCTCCTCTAACAGCTATATATTTTTGATTAAATGAAGGCCTATAGCAGTGTGACTTCCTCAGCTGAATGAGGGAAATCCACCCAGATATTTGTATCCGTACGCACGATAACACATCATACAGTTGTCACAAGTGGATTACAAAGCAGCAGCTCGTACACAGCAGTACAGCTGATAGACTGAGATAAATTCCACATCTCAGATGCCGTGTTTTATGTACAGTTAAAATCTGCTCAGAAGGAAAGCAGCTATAAGGCAGGCTCCCTTTTTAACAGAATGAACAAAAGGACCCAATATTGTGTCATGAATTCCTTTGGGGTTTCACTCTATTTATAGGGAAATCTCTTTCAGTGCATGGACATTTAGCAGTTTAGCTTGATACATCTTTTTTTCCCTCCATTTACAAAAGATCAAAACGTGCATTTCTCTGTCTGAAGAGCTTTGTGTTTGGGATGGGGGGACGGCCATGAATGCAGAATGCAGGAACCCTCAGAGGGGCGCAAGCACCTCGATTCAATGGATAACAGAAGCAGCAATTCTGGAACTTCATGCAACATCCCAAAGCAGTCCTTACATTTCTTGAGCAGACGCATTATTTTCACTCAGTTTCACACGCTGGGCAGAACGACATTTCCTGAATAACTTTCCCACCTCCTCTGAAAGCCTTACCAAGGCTGTGCCCGCCAGCCCCTGCTGCTAGCCTAGGAGCACCACAACCCCAGAGAGCCCAGCCGCCCCAAAGCCAGCAGCCATGCTTAGCAGAGCAGGCAGAACAAACAGCTACGCTGATAGAGAGCTCACTGCACGCAGGCAACACTGCCTGTGTTCCAAGCACTTTGCACTGCATGTAGGAAGCAATGCTTGCCTTCCAAGGGGGATCAACAAAAGCTGGAGATTAGTTAATGCATCAAGGAGAAGTTCCCCCTGCTGTAAGTGTAATACAGATCAGCAGCAGCCACCCTGAGACTGCTGAGATGTGTGTAAGGAGGGCTCTGAAAGCCCTGGTTTGGAGCTACCTGCAGGCAGCCCCTGCAGAGGAGCCCCAGCCAGTGACAGCAACTGAAGGCTGTAGGACCCGCGTCCTCCCAACCAGGCAGGAGAGCTGAAAAGCAGATCAGAAGTGACTTCTAATGACCTTCTGGCTCTGAGCAAGGTCACTTAAACCTGTGTTAGGAGATCAGAGTTTTACTTGGCTTCTATGTTTTCAGCAGGGAGTATGAAATCCTGACTCAGGCTCCATTCAAAAAGCAAAGTACAGAAGAAAGGGTTTGCCTGTAGGGGAACCTCAGGTTTTCACTCCACGTTTGGACCTCTCTCAATTCACATTCGGTGCAGTGAAAGGAAGGCTGTTGTCAGGGCTTTCAGTGGCTCGAGTTTATCCCACCGCCCGCTTCCCTGCTTCGGGAGCAGCAGAATGCAGGAAGGGGAAGATTGTGCATTTGGCAACTTTGCTTTACTTTCATCTCCAGGGGAAAATCTGCTTCAGTCCCATGTGGGCACTGATTGCTGGAAGGATGTTTTCACAAACAAAATGCTGGAGGCCATGTAATCTTCAGCCTCCCTTTCCTTCCCAGCTCTCAGCAAGCCAAATGTAACACATGAAACAGCAGGGATGTAAGCTGGCAAAATGTCCTCGAGTACAAAGATGTGCAAAAACATATCATCTGCAGTAACATGATCAGTGCTTCTTGCTAATCTGCCCACATCGTTACAGAATTCAGTTAAATGTTAAGCATGGAATAATTTTTTTCTAATCACAGGCTGCCAACACAGGACAGAATGACAGCTCAAACTGAATCCATCATCTAAGCTAAGGTGAATCCATTTTCTCTCTCTTTTTTTTTTTTTTTTAATGGAATATTAAAGACTTTTAGGAGCTTGTAACCTGCCCTGACACATGCCTCCAATTTTTGGTACATAATCATAGTCATCTTTGCTTTGCCACATAGGGATATGCAATAAGTGAGAAGCATTTTCCAATTCCAGTTTGTTAAAGTAGGAACCAGACTTTCCACCATGTCAAATTGCTGTATCAGATGATCACCTCAGAAATATCTGCCACTCCTTATAAGCTAAGGGCTTTAGCTAGGCAAGGTTATCATCTCACTTGTGCTCATTTAAAAAACAGACTAAAATGAAAATTAAATAAAGGTATCAGAACTTATGACATAGGCAATGTTAGACCTGAAGAAACTAATTTATATCTGAAAAATAAATAAAAGTCCTACTGAGAAGTTGCAGGAGATGGCTGCCACCACACAGAGCAGAGCTGTCAGGCACTGTCACTGCCACGTAGACACATCTCCTGTACATAAGAGATACATTGCATAATGTTACAGATGGCACAGCTCATAACAGCCAGGATTACATTTATTAGAATCAGTTGAGATGGTTATTACTCAGATTCTACAGTTTTCTATGCAAGGTGACCTCAGCTTCCTTTCTTTTCTTTTTTTTTTTATTTTGCACAGCACCATGAGAAGATTTTCTTGCTGCAGAAAATAGCTGCAGGTAAATGGTAGCTGTGATTGTGCACCAATACCAACTCCTGCAGACATCTGTTATAAAACTGCGTTCATAAACATCTGAGCTTACTGATGAATTGGATTCTCAGTGTCACTACTTTATATACTCAGTACAATGACTTCTGCACTTCTTTTCATGTGAGGGCTGCAGCAATGGCTGCTAGCATCACCAGCCATTCTTCACATCAGAAGTGTCACCTGCGTGCCAGGGGTGGCCTTTGCTGTCATGCAATCTCCACCTAAAATAGTTGCGGACAAAAGGGTGGGGGGAACACTTATGTAGCTGTATTTTTGTAACAGAGGGGTAAAGGCACAGCAGTAAAGTTCTACATACTGTGCAAAATAGCCTGCAAGGCTGAGAGTGTAAGCACACAGAATGGGATATTTTCCTCTGAAGACAGAAATGACCACAGCCCAGCCTCGTTAGGGGCATGAACATCAATTCACTCCCATTGCTATGCTCAGGAATGTGCGCCCCAAAACCACAGACACTGTCCTGCCCACAGCCTTGGGAGCTTACCCAGCCCCACTGCCCCAATAGCTGATACTTATTTCTCTCTCTTCTCCCTTCCAGTGGCTGTTGTAAATCTACCTTTCCCGAAATTCAATAAAAAATTAATTGAGAAAAAAAAAAAAAGGCCATTTCATCCCTAACAATAAAAGACCAATTGACTTCTCAATTTTCTAGTGGGCAGGCGAAGAAATCAGGCGTACAGGAGGGAGAAACTCAATTCTCCAAAGCTCCCCCCTTCTGGACTTCCAGAGCGGCAGTCTCAAGGGTGCTGCGTCCCCTGCTGCTCACGGATCCCAGCCTGGTGTTATTTTCTCTGCTCTGAAGGCAGCAAGAATTCATTCTGCATTATTGATGACTTAGAGCTCGGCAGCTACAGCAGCCTTTGGAGGACGCTTTCTGCTGGTGCCACTCACCTGCTCCCAGAGCTCCCATTGTGCCGAGGCGCACTGTTTGCTTTGCTCTCTCCACAAAGCTCTCTCAGGCTCCCTTTTACTAAAAGCTGAACTGAGGGATGTAGCACGGTGATGAAACTCTCCCTGTGAAGCACGGGCTGCGCAAGCTCACAAGACCAGCCATGTTCAAGCAGCTGCCTCTGCTGGGATGGCAAATATAACACTGAGCACCAGCCAGGAACAAATGGGCCCAGGCAGCTGAGATCCCTAATCCTTCTGAAAGGACACATCTGACCCCAGAAACAGCATCCCCTGAGATCAGACACGTGGCAGAGCAGGGGTAGGGGGACATGTGCTCCGGATGGACCTCCCTGCCTCTTTCCCTTCTGTTTCTGAGCTCCACTTGCTTTCTGCCCTGTCATAAATAATTATTTCACTATTGTAACTTTTCCTTTGGGAATCTGAACACATAACTAACGCAGAACCAGACCCCCCCCCTACAGACAAGGAGGCTGCCCTATGGTCATTAAGCCTTGGTGTGCCTCAAACAGAAATTCTGGATGCCAGTGGGACTTTGATTACTTGAGTGAGCACCAGGAATTTGCATCTGTAGCCACTGATGGTGCAAAACACCCATACATTTTGCAGAAGTCAGCTCTGTCCATCAGTGCAGAGCAGAACTGCAGTGCAGCTGAAGCTCTGTTCCCAGGATATCACAGATGGTCCCTGACACCTCCATCCCACCCCACCTAGCACAGCCTGCATGCTGGCTCGGGCCTTTGATCCACGAGTGTAGCTGTTTACAGCATATATGCCACTTTCCTTGGCTTTAAGAAAAACAAAACTAGCATTGTCGACACCTTTGAAGTACGAACAGGTTCACAACAAAGAAGCAACTGCAATAACACACCTCATCTACTCAACTTGAATTGAGAGAAATCTCAAGTTGATTTTGTTAATATAGCTCTAGCATGATGATTTTAGTGATAGAGGTCTATGGGTTTTTTTGCAGTCCTCAGAAATTTTGGGGAGATAATCTTTAAAAAAAAGGTATAGGGCACAGTATTCATCACGTTAGATTGCAAATTTCAGGTACTACAGGAAGGAAATGAAGAATCTGTGTTCAGGTTCATACCTTTCTCCTCCTCAGAGCTAGGGGCTCTGAGTCAGCAGCTCTGCTCTGCCTGTAGTAGTGCCAGAAAACGACTTCTAAGATCTAATTAAGACTATTTCTGGAAGCATACTGTACCAGCAAAAACTGCCTCCGTTATTATTTACAGTCACAAAGATGGAGTGAGAATTAACAGTAGGAGCCCTCCTGGTTGCCCAGTTTGGTGATGACATACATAACCTTCTAAATATTTGCCAAGGAATCCTCAATAGAGCCTTGTGCATTTTTGCATTCCCACCCCCAGTGCACTCTTAGTGTCCTACACCACATCTGAGCAGCTTGGGATTAACCTCTGAACCTCTCACCAAGCTTCTGGTGTCATCAGTTTTAACCCTCCAACGTGGATAAAATGGGCAGAGGCAGGAGTTATCTGACTGCTCACTGATAGACAGCAACTTCAACTTTACAGTGAAATTCAATCTCACTCCAACAGTTTCAGTGATTGTGAAAATATACCTAAAAAAAATAAAGTTAAGCAATTTCACACAGTGGAAAACAGCCCAGGGCAGAAGAAAACTAAAACCAAACAGTTTGCCGTCAGTGCTGTAGACTGTGTTCAGTAAAAACAAAAGATCAAACAAGTTCTGTAATCATTATATAAAGCACATTTGCTATGGCATGTGAAGAAAACATACTTCCTTCCTAATACTAATTAACATTAGAGAGTTGTGGGCTGAAATGCAGGATAAAAATAGCTGTTTAAACTAATCACTCAGCAAGATGTAAATGTTACATACAAAGTATACCTAACGGGTTGGAATATTTATCCCAGAAGTAAAGAAAGCTTTCACTACTTATGAATTATAAAAGTTTCTCTTCCTGTCTCACTGCAACAATATACGGACCCACTGAAAATATGGGACCGCTCTTCCTAGACTAAAATTGTTTCTAAGTGCTAAAATGAAGCAAAGTTGTGGTTAGCAAAGGGAAGTGTTGTAAGCAGAGGACCTCTTACCAAATTGTTTTACATATAAACAGCACAAATGTATTCTAATGGAGTGAGCCACATAGATGTCATCAAACAATGCACAGGTTTAGGGGTTGCAGACGTGCAGAAAATGAGCCCCCAGCCCACTATAATACCATCAGCTCCACCTGAGCAGCACTTACACGTTCCTTCAAAGCACACCACTAACACAGCTGGCTCTGCTGAACACGGATGGCATCTCAGGTTTACCTATTTTTCCTGAGATTATTTCTCCTTCCGTTGTGCTCCACCTTAACACAAAGAAATCCAGCACTTGCTTATTTTATCTCAGAAGTTGGCACTGAGTGCAAGGAGCTCATGGTGCCACGACTCCAACCAGCCCATCAGAGCCTCCAAGATATTCCTAGGCATAAACAGTATTTAAAAATTCAGGATGCCAAGAGTTCTTGATATAACATTTCAATAGCTTCCTAGCAATTACATTTTTAGTAACTTCCCCCAGCAAGAATTCAATGCAGGATAACAACTAGAGAAAAGGCCTTGAATCGTGTGGTGCAAAACCTCAAGATTTTTAACCTCTTGAGGATCTCCCCATCCAATACAGATACCTGTTATGGGTACTCTGCAGGATTTGGCTGCAATCTGTGAGCAGAACACATGCAGAATTCCAATTCCCATGACTCCTGCCCCTCCTGCTGAATGTCCCAGCTCTGGGCTGGATTCAAGAGCGCAGCAGAAACTTTGTCAGAATAGGATGCACTCAGCATTGGTTACACCCACTAAATAAGAAGCAAGCCATCAGAAAGGCAAGACTGTCCTTTGTGTGCTAGGCAAGTGAAGAAGAAAATTGACTTTTTTTTTTTTTATCAGACAGGTCAAAAAGAAAATTCTCTAAGCAACATTCTATAATCTCAAGCCAAAATCAGATGCCAAACTCAAGCTCCCCAGCACTCCAATCTCCTGCTGTATGTCACAGGAGTACAATTTCAACCTGTAAAGATTAAATAAAAGAAAACAATCCTTGGAGGACAGACACTGCAACCTGGGAGAGCAGGTTCTTGCATCCTGCACCAGGACTTTTGTCAGCAGATGCCTCAGACAAAGGGTGTGGAGCAGGAGCTGTGATGGCAAAACTTCAGGACCAGAGTCCTAGCCTGATAGAAAGGGAAAGCAATCCATGCAGCAGTACTGTATTAGATTAAACCAACACAATAGCTCTAAAACAATTGGGTCATGTGAATTGAGTCACAAGGCTCCCAGGCCAGCCACAAAATAATAATAATTAAAAAAAATCACATAAAAAAGGCAATTACTTATAGTGATCCAAACCTCCCCTACGACAGACTGCGCACCGCAATTGAACTGTTCAGGGCAACACAAATACCACCTCTGCTCCATCTCAGCACATGATTCATACCACTAAGTGCTTTGTTTCCCTCTTGTAGAATGTAATGTTTGGACTTCTTAAAAGGGTCATACTGAATTAACAGGTTCACCTTGAAACCACACAGCAAAACAAAAAGCTGTGCGCCAAATTGCACTCCAGAAGGGACCGGCATGCAAGAGTGCAATTCTCTCCTGTTCAGTAAGGAGAGGAACAAGCATAGTGACAAGCTTCAAATGTCCAAACCACACAGCTCCTCCTAGCTCTGTGCCTTGCAGGAGAGCATCCAAGCCATGCAGCACATGGAGTGCTGGGCAGGACTGCTGCAGGGAATCACAGGGAGAGTTTGACCACAGGCACGCTGCATGGATCAGCTCTCAGATGCTGGTTA